AAGAAAGTTAGTTCTGCAAAAGGAGGAAGGAATCACCTTCCGTGTCAGATTTTGCTATGAGAAACTGCCCAACTTTTGCTTTCTGTGTGGTATAATAGGTCATGCAGAGAATCATTTCCCGCGTAAGCTAAGGGGATACGAAATCACTGGGGAAAGGCCATTTGGGCCTTGGCTTAGAGCTGCAAAAGGGGCTAAGCAAAGGAAAGAGAATAAATGGCTCGTTCCAGCTGGGAGATGTATCAGTTCTGATAGCAAGATTACCAGTGGAAATAAAGAGGAAAGCATGCGTCCAGGTACGGTGGAAGACGGGCTCTCTTCACACGAGAGAGGATACATCGAGCAGAAACGAAGACGTGTGGAGGACTCAGCGAAGCACCAGTTCGGGGAGGAGATGGAGATTGCCCATACAGGGGGGGGAAACGGGGAAGAGGCGAGCTACAAACTTGTAGCTCTCCAGGCACAGGTTTGAGAGTCACTGGACCGCATTTTGGGGAATTAAATAAGGCCGAGAGCCAGAAAGATTTTATTTATTTTTGCTTTTTTTCTTTTTTCTTTGCTCATGTTGCTTTTCTCTTTATTTGGAACTCTAGCGGTAGGGTGAGTCTTGTTTTTTCTTACATGGTTTGGGATGATGTTTTTGGTGGAAGCGATAAGGCTTGTTTGGCCGATAAAAGCTTCGAAACTCTCACATGGTTCGCGAATAGTCTCGCTCCTTCCGGGGTGGTCTATTCTAAGTCTAGCCAGAGAGTGGGGGGGGGGGGGGGCTTTGGGCTATGCGGAGCCTCACGAAGAGGTTTAGCGTTACACGCGGGGTCGTAATTTTAGATGCTTGATTGAGGAAGCCTGGGTTGATTGTAAGGGGGGAGTATGTTGAGTCGTTCCGATGATATAATATAATCAGTTTCCTTACAAAAAATACCAAAAAAGAGTATGGAGTTTAGCTAAGTTGGTCTTGGTACCGCCCGTTCCACTAAATTTGATAAGAAATTAAAAAATTATGTAGAAATTACTTTAAAATATCTTTATATTTTTTCAACCTAGTGTAACTATTAAATGGACTCGAACGTCACAGTAAAAGCTAATCTCGCTATAGTAGGAAAATATTATAATGCTTGAATATTAATTTAATGTTTTTTGCCAAATGTGAATAAATTAAAAACAAATTGATTTTTTACATTTATTAAAATATTAATTTTATATTAAAAACATATTATTTTAATATAAACATATTAAAACATATAAATGTATCATATTACAACAATTGTTATCTATCTGACTTGTCAAAGTTATACTCCACTCAGTTTCAATATTTCTATTCCATATTTCTTCTTTTATCGTCTCATTAAATTTTTCCAATATTATAATTAGTACTACCTCCATCCCATTTTATGCGTCTCATTTGAGTTTGACACAATTATTAATAAAGTGATTGAAAATGTAAAAGTTGTGATTATATTTGAGTATAATAAAATGAAATGATGTTAACCACATATTTTTTCCCAAAAAGATAAATGTGACACTTATTTTGGGACAACCCAAAAAGAAAAGTAACATAGACAAAATGCGACGGATGGTGTAATAACTAAATCAAATTAAACTATCTTTTATTTTATTCACATTTTATATATTTAATAGAAATAATTCCAAATATATAACTAAAATAAAAGTAGTGGACAAAAAGTGACTCTGGCTAGTAACTTTAGTGATTATAAATATATTCAGATTTTAATTCATAGTGACTATAACTTACTCATAATAATTTATAGTCACATATATATCCATATATTTATTCTTAGTAATATTTTAGGAAAGATCTCATTTAATATCAATCATATGACTCATCCATTTTTTTAATAGCTACTATCCTTTATTTATAACTAAGAGCCTGTTTGGTAACACTGAAATCGGCTGAATCGGCTGATGCTGCTGAAGTTCTAACTTAGGTGGTTGTATATGGTTGATTCTGTTGATTTATGAAAAAATCAAATTTAAAATATATTTTATTATTAAAATAAAGAAAAAATTATATGTAAAAATAGCTAAAAATGTTCATTTATAGTAACTTCAGTCGAAATAGCCAGAAACGTAACTCAAACCTTACTTATTACATATTTCAACGCGCAAAAGCAAAAGTTACGTGTTTGGTGAAAAAGTTGACCGATAAGCCTGATAAGCCAAATAACAATGTTGCCAAACGAGCTCTTAGTTTAATATGAATGAAAACATGCTAAAAAATGAAAAAGATTAGAGAGGTAGAAAAAAATTAAAGTAAATGAAAATATGGTCCAAAGTGACATCAAAAATGAAAATAAATATAAATAATTAAACGTGTACCTTCACACACAAAATTTGTGAGATATAAAATAGAAGTATGTTTCATTAGTTAGGAGTGAAATAGAATTAGTAAGCATGTGTTTGATTGAGAAAAGAATTTGAAGAAGTGTAAAGATGTCAGAGAATCAATTCAGTTTTATGTCTTATGGCTCAACAATTGAGGTTATTCACCTTCTTTGTCAACTTGTGGAGAAGTAATAGAGACACTAACAAGGATCTGCGTATCGTGTTCGTTAACTTAGAAAGACATATGATAGGGACATAGGGTACCTCGAGAAGTTTTTTAATGGGCATTAATTAGAAAAGGCCACACAAGTATATCAACATCGTATGGATTTGTATGAGGATTATTGTGCTACAAGTGTCTATACTACTGTACTAGTGTATGGACTATGAAGGACCATAGAGTTCCACATTACTCCGCCTTATCTTAGAAAAGTTTTAGAGAAAATATTTTACACTAAAAGTTGATATATAGTGCTTGAAAATATGATATTGATAAAGTAAGAAATCGATAATGTTTGGTAAAAAATATTATATTGTTTGCGCAATAGAAAAAATAAATGTCAGTTCAAAGCTCATGCCCACCTGCTTCCAACTTTTAACTTTAAAGTATACAATTTAACTAAAAACTAACACCTAAAATCACCTTTTTAATAGAATTTTTTTAACTTCTAAAAACACCTTGACACTCAGAAGTTGTTTACTTCTTTTCTATCAAGTCTTGTCTGAATTGAATTACGATGTTTGTCTAGATTAAGTGGTATTAGTAAATGACACTGTTTGGTTGTGTGCTGAATAAGAGAACGTAAAATATTAAATTTAGTATTGTTCATGAGTAGTTATAATGTCATCAAGAAATTCCATTTATTAACATAAATATATTCCATAATCGATTTAAAAAAAATTTACAATAAGCCATCTTAATAGACGTCTTAATGGGAATGAGTATGATATTTCACCTTAATGATTAAGTCAACTTTTGAGTGAATGATGAACCTCGATCGAAAATAAACATGATCTAATTGTTTCTTGAACGATTAATTCACTATTTCCATCAACAACCATTAACATAGTAAAGTTCCTCTTGTAAAAATCATACCATGTGTTTTATTGGTAGAGCTGATAGCAATTTGGATACAAGAAATTTGTTGCTCTTTTTATACAAAATAAAATAAAATAAAAAAGCGGGGGATATCGGGTTTTGTAAGGAAAGTATTAAAATCCAATAGTTTAGCCGATATAGCATACTATCGTATATACTCATAGTCCATAACAGAAGGTTAGAAATTTCATTTCTTGAAAACATTCAACTCATGTCCTCATATGACCAACTATAATATATGCATGAATGGAAATAGGTGAAAATATAATATATTAAAACATAATAAAATAATTGAAATCTAAGTAATTAAAAATAATTCTAGTATAAAATTCTGAAATATAAATATTATGTTATTATGCCCTAAAATAGTTCTTGTCATGAAAATATTGTCAAATATGATATTATACATATACTGCCATATTTATGTATGATAATGTGAAAATATATTAGTAAAAATGTCTGAGCAGAGGTAATTAAGTTCCTCCTTTTTGGGGGAAAACAATAATGCTTTTTTTCCCGGGAACTTTCTTCATTAACCATTCAAGGAATTGTAGAAAATAAAAACAAGTCCATGGACCATGGATAATGTCCAGGATCAAAATTTCTTAATATAATTGTCCTTTTTAATTAATTCAATCTTTGCTCCACCTCCATGGTTGCTTAATTAAAGAGGTGGAAATGGATCACATTCGGCCTTGAAGGATGTTCTTGGTGGGTGAAGATAGTTGTGGATATGATACATTGATACTAGTACTTTTTTCTTGTTTTCAACAAAGGCTACAATTTTCTTATGTGTGCGCATTATAAAAATGTGACCAATTGATCAACCTAAAGGTAGGTGTCAATTCCATCTACTGTAACATTATTGTTATAAGACAAGTTAAAAATAGAAACATATGGGTTGTGCATGACTTGATGCCTTAGCTTATTTCTACAGAGTAAAATATACTATCCGTTCTACAATGTTTATCAGGCTTATCAGTCAACTTGTTTTACCAAATACGTAATTTTTGCTTCCACGCGTTGAATGGTGTAATAAGCAGAAAAAGTAAGGTTGAAATTACTTTTCTGACTGTATTGGTTGACGTTACTGTAGATGATTAATTTAACTATTTTTACATATATTTTTTCTTTATTTTATTAATAAAATATATTTTAAATTTTTTTTTTTAAATCAGCAGAATCAGCCAATGCAGCCACTTCAATCAGAACTTCATAAATTTCAACAGAATCAGCCAAATCAGTCGATTTTCATGCTACCAAACAGACTCTAAACCTGTAACTCTTATTGTGTGATAATAAAAACATTAATTAAAGTTACATTTTTGCTAGAGTTGTGAAGTAGTACTAGTACTACCTAATGTTTATGTTTTTTCATACAATTTCTTGATTACTTTGTTAAGTAAATATAATTTAAATGAAAAAATTTGTAATTCAACAGATTCACTCAAGAATTTCAAACAGATTAAATTTAAATTGATAAACTTTACCAAAACGGCTCAAATATTTAGTCTTTGAAACAATTCCAATGAATAATAATTCAAAAAAAAATGAGTGGGAGTTAATAGAAAGCAAGTCAACAAGGGGTTAAATGCGAACGAAAATAAAGGTTAGCGTTGAAAAGGAGGCGGAAAGAGAAGAAGAAAGATAAGGAGGCCGGCCGGCCTATTTTCCCGTCAATTACCGAATTTCCCTTTTGGCTCTCTTTGAAATTCATTCCCTTTGTAGCCTTCCTTTCACTGTCGAATACCATCACCGATGGGGTAAGGAAGCGGGGATTAAAAGCCTATTCGATCTACCTGTGCTTAGCTGAAGTGAAGAATTGGTCATTCTACTGAGCTGGTATGGTTTGATCCACGAGAGATTTCAACCGATTTATTTTAACTTTACAATTGTTGTTTACTTGATCAGATAAAGATTTGGTTCTTCACAAATTGGTGCAGTTATTCATCCGTAGATCATTTTGTCAGAAGAAATGGGCGTTGAATTGCCAGCAATTGGAGCTCAAATGATCAAAGCTGTGATCTTCTGTATTAGAGTATGTTGCAGAACTGTTATCGATCATCCCTTCCTTGTCGCTTTACTGGGTTTATTGGCATTCCTGTACAGATCATTTCCTTTTCTGTTTTCTGCATTGCTATCCATATCTCCTGTTATTGTTTGCACTGCTCTTCTGCTGGGTACTTTATTAAGTTTTGGCCATCCAAACACGCCTGAGATAGAAAGCGAAGAAGAGAAAACAGTTCATGACATTGTAGCGCCTCTGAAATCTAGGGTCTCTTGTGATTCCATTGTTCTAGAGCAAGAGTCTCAGGAAATTCAATTGGAGAGACATGGTGACAGGAAAGTTACAGGGTACTCTCCAATTCCAAATATGGATAATAGTAATAAACAAGCGAGACTGGAGATTGACAATGATAAATCTGTGGATTATTTTGACTCCAAAGCTGTAAACGTCAATACTTGTCCCGGGTCACCTTGGAAACAAGAGGATGACGAAGAAGAAGACGATAGTGATGATGACGAGATTGAAAGTCTAGAAAGTTATTCTCCAGATAAGTCAGTGGCCAATATCATCCCGATGCTTGATGAACTCCACCCTCTTTTGGATGAAGACTGTCCTCAACCTGTTGATCTATCTCGTGTTGATTCTGATGAATTTACTGATGGAATTATAAACCAAGAAGAGGAGGAATCTGAAGATGATGATAGTGAAAATGACGAAGATGAAGAAGAAAGTAATAAATCTGCAATTAGTTGGACTGAGGAGGATGAGAAGAATGTATTGGAGTTGGGAAGCTCAGATCTTGAAAGGAACCTAAGGCTGGAGGGGCTTATTGCTAAAAGAATAGCACAAAAGTTTATGGGGACAACACTGACCAAAAGGAATTTCATAAACTCAGAAGGTGTTGATGATCTGCCCTTTAACGTTGCTCCCATTTCAACTGCCCGAAAAAACCCTTTTGATATCCCTGATGGTGAAAATGGCCTCAGGTTACCACCAATTCCTGGCTCTGCTCCATCTGTTTTACATCCTAGGAGAAATCCATTTGATCTTCCTTACGACTCAAGTGAAGAGAAACCCGTTGTTATGGAAGGATTTTTCCAAAAGGAGTTTGAGGCATTTCAACCTAAAGAGACATTCTTCACGAGGCACCAAAGTTTTAAGCCATCAATATTTGGGCAAAACAAAAATGATGCGAGGTTAAGACCTTTCTTTGTTCCAGAAAAGATAGAGTCAGAAGGAGAAAGTTACGCCCCATTTCAAAGACAGTCGAGTGGTCTTAGTGATGACAAAGTAAGATTTGTTCCAGAAACCGAATCAACAGGTTTAGCTCAAAGCATAATAACTGATGAACTTATTTCTCAGGATCAAAATCTGATGTCTCACGTAGAGCATTTATATGGTCAAGTTGAACATGCAAGCAACTTTTCTGAAGTGGAACAATTGGAGTTGGTCAGAAATGGTAAAAAAGACATTTTTGGTGTGGAGATTGAAGGTAAGCAGGACTCCCATTTGATCCATGAAGGAAATGTCGCTGATATGTTGGATTTCAGCGAAACAGAAACTAATTCAAGCTCCGCATTTTTTGAGCAGAACTATAACTGGAAATTGCTATCAGATTTGGAAGACAAAAGTGGTCAAGCAGAAGAAAAAGCAATTTTCAAGGATCCTTCAGCGGAAAGGTCTGATGTCAACCCACATAAGGAACCTATGTATAATTCAAGCCTCACTTCGCTTCAGAATCACATTTCATTTGCAGAGAGGGAATCTTTTGAAAGTAGTCTGGTTATCAATCAGTATACTACTATGGTTAGCAAAGAGATGATAGCCACCTCATCTAACTCCCAACCAATAGATCAAAGTGACTTTTCTGTGTTTGACTCGAATGCCCATATTAAGGCTTCACATGGTATGATGGAGTCCGTTTCTTCCAATTCATCTAAAGTTCTAAGTAATGATCCATCTGAAAATAATGGTGCCTTTGACTTGTCGATTCTTTCTCAAGAAGATCAGAAACTTGTTTTTGTTGGACATGGAAATGGTTTGGAAGAAAAAACAACATCTGGAAATGTTGAAGAATTGGCATCATCATATCCATCCACAAATCACCCTTCCAAGGATCACAAAGAAGCGCAGGTCAGTCAATTACATTGAGTACTTGCTTTCTTTTCACCCTTTCCCCCTATTATTTTCATCAATATATTTCTTTCACTAACCATAATTTGTTTCCTGGTAAGATTAATGTACCAAAAGTTACACATTTTTTGGAGCTATCGGGACTAATATGAAAAGGAACATAAATTTCAATTTTCATATGCTACTTGGCTTAAATTTGACTACATTCAAGTGTAGTTGTTGCACACCATGATGGCATGTATAATATAATTCAATCAAATATAATTTTAGTGTACCTTACATTGCATATACATTTGATTACATGGCAATATGACATTACATTATGACTTAGTGACTTACCAAACTACACCTTAAAGTTTTGGTAAAGACCTAACGTCCCTGAACGTTGAAGAAAACTGTGCCACATTGGGAAACCAGGCCACACCAGATGTATAGAGTCCAACCAATCACCTAAAGTTGAACCCAGATGTCCAGATCACACTATAAAATTGATACCAATCTTATTACATGAAAATAATGATAATATCATATCCTTTCTTCCAATGAAAACAGGAACCACCCCTTATATTGCTCAAATCAGTTTATGAAGCAGATATTGCTCAATCAGATGTTAAGACAACTGCTTGTGATGAAGTAGAAATTGCTAAGCATGTCAGGCTCTCTGAAACCCGTGAAGTTTTAGTAGAAACAGTGGCAGAGGTTGATGGTATGAAGGATCATGATAAAACTTTATTAACTGAACTGGATGGGCAACTCCATGAAGATAATTCTGTGAGGCAATCTATTCATGATTCCTACGATGTTAATGTGAACAAAGCAGAATCCTCAGCCTCCTCTTTCTTGAAGGAATCTTCGGAATTCAATCTGGACAGTAGTGCCATGCAGTTAAATTCAGAAGATCAATTGCCTGAAGTTGCATCAGATGATGATGAAGCTCTCAAACATGAGACTGGCTCTAGTATAAGAAGCATCCGTAAAATCAGATGTGAGTACAAGGTCCGTCAAGCAGGTGTCAATGGTAAAAAAGAAGAATCCGTCAAATCTGATGCAAGTACAAGCTCCAGCTCCAGCTCTGACGACTCCAGTTCAAGTGACTCTGATAGAGATTAGAGAATCAGATCAGAGGGAAATTTTATTGCACAATCTGAAATTATGGGTTCTGTGTTTCATTTTCTTTCGGTTGCTTTTGATAGACATTTTAGAGGACATTTTATTCAAAAATGACTTCTGGATTCACTTTCTTGAAAGCACCATTTAATGTGATTTCAGTTTCCACAGATCTTTGGAGTAGAGTCTAGCCATTATTTGGTGACTAGAAATGAATTTACCTAAAATTACGTTGTATAAATATCATAAATGTTATAAATGTTATAATGTCATTTCTAGCAAGAAAAGGTTCCTGGATGGCTGGATTATATATATATATACTAGTTTTTTATACGCGCGCGGTTGGGTGAATGCCCAATATTATGTATATATATGAAATATACTTTTGTGGAATTTGGAATTCAAATTACACACAAAAAGGACAAAAAAATAAAGACACGTGTAATATGTTTACATGTAGCACGTGTGTCGCCCATGGCATAAGGGGCATGATGACTTGACGTGATCCTCATCAAAAGTCTCTCGGGAAAACTGTCAAATAGGTCCTCGAATTTTCATAAAAAAGACCATTAAGTCCTTCTATAGGAGACTCTGTCCGGTCGTCGCGATTTGGGGTGGTTCCCGGTGGAATTTTTTGATGAAATTTTTTGAGCATATTATTCATCAAGTCTAGTTTACTCATACCAATTTAAGCAAAAAATTCAATCGGGAGCGCATTCAAATTAATTCGAGAACGCAAAAATGCGCAGTTATCTTCAAGAATTAATTTGACTGTGTTCCCGATTGAATTTTTAGCTGAAATTTGGTATGAGTAAACTAGACTTGGTTAATAAGATGTTCAAAAAATTTCATCAAAAAATTCCACCGGGAACTGCCCCAAATCGCGACGGCCGGACAGAACCTCCTACAGAAGGACTTAATTGACCTTTTTATGAAAGTTTGAGGACCTATTTGACTGTTTTCCCAAAGTCTCTCATATACTGAACACACACACACAATGAATGAGTTCTAATACAAAGAAATCTTCCCATGAAAAGTGAGAAGTGATGTAAGCCGCGATCACTTTAAAATGGACGAAATAGATTAAAAATCATAGTAATAAAATGTTAAACATAAATGTGCAATGCTAAATAGTAAAAGTGCACATGCGATATGTAAGGTTGCACATTCACCTAGTTACAAAATATCACAAAATAATTTCAATAATTGTCATTTTATTTTGAAAAGTGATGCATTTTTGTGTTACTCAAATGCGCCTTTTCTCCATATAAATGCACATTTTCACTCATTTTGATTTGCTAATTAGTTCGGGAGAAAACATATGAACAATTGTGGCTCATGAAAAGTAAAAAAGATCTACTAAAAATGGTAAAGATGTGATGAAAATTTTGATAAATAAGGATGTTTTCACATGGACTTATTGTCGTCCCGGAACATTTCAAAATAGACCAGACCAAATTTTAAAGATCAATACAAACTTAAACAGATTAGACCATACCAAATCGGACTTCGATAGTTATAAATTAAATACATATAGGCCAGACATCACCTGATCAGACCAGACAAAATCATACTCAAATAGACCCAATTATACCAGATCAAACCCAATCAGGTCAAAAAATTACAATCCAATTAAAAACATCTGAATAGCTTAAAAAGGATCTAAGTTTTATGGGAACAGTTTAAAATCCACTATCAGTCAAAAATATTACTATGTAGTATATACTAAGAGCATGTTTAGTATGCATAAGTCTCTACATTCTAGCTTTTGTATTATCTAAAAACATTGAGTAGCATTTGAGAAAAGTTTTTAGCTTTTAGCATTAATTAGTCAGAACAACTTTTATCCCAAACATAACTAAATCAAGCAGTAAGTTTTTTATCAAATAGCTAACGATTTCTTGTTTTAAAAAAATATTTTGAATCATTAAAGCTAACAATTATTGAAAAAATTTAAAAAGTATCGTTTTAGCTAGTTGTGCCAAAGATACCTACATACGTATATGATATAAGAATGTAAAAATATGTTCCTATCAAAGTCTTTTTTCCGTAAAATCCACTACCATCTGGCGCGACTGGGCTTTGTAAAATGGTGTTTGCAGCACCATATACGTTTGGGGATGATACCTGGCAAAATTCCCAAGTGATATTCGAATTGCAAAAACGTAAAAGACTGTTTATTAAAAATCAAAATAAATATTATAGTCCACATGCATTAAACTCACTAAAGAGTTAAAAAGCTTAAGGGAACGGAAATGATCGAGGATTCCTTCTTGGCTTAACCGCAAGCAACGCTATGTAAACGGAACAAGAGGATTACAAAAGTCAATCATTAAAAGCGTACAACTTATTATGCATATTGAACAAATTGTTATTGCTTCTTTATTACACTAACATTTTTTTCATTCCTAATACAACCTTACCATCATTGGTGCTTATAGTTTTTTAAAGATAAAGATAAAGATATATTCCTCTAGTATTAATCCTTAACTCCATCTGTCTTAAAGTTTCTTCATGTTTTCCTTTGATTGTTCATTTGTTCTAAATAATATTCTGTATTTCCTTTTAAAGAACATATACGAGCATTACGTATATTATACAACCGCCTGTACGGTAGGCACCGTACAGCCGGCCCAGTAAGAGACTTAAGGGGAAAATAGCAAAATAATTTGGTGACATTTTTGTAATAATGTGAAAATCGTGGTTTCTGTTAAATGAGTATTAAATATTAATGTACTTTTAATGAGCAATAGTCCAATTTTAATGAGTATTAAGTGTCCAATAATGAGCTCCGTGTTATTACAGGAAAGCTGATATCACAACTAAAAAACGGTGGCATTTTCGTAATTTCGGTGAAAATCACGGTTTTCATTAAATGAGCATTAATACACTTCTAATGAGCATCAGACGTGTTCTACTGAGCACTAAGAGTCAAATAATGAGTATTTTGATATCAACTTCATATATTATAATTCACTTTCTTTTCCTTATTTTTTTCTTTTATAAAAACTCATTAAATTATATCTACAATCAATTCCTATGAATTTCAATATGCGAATCTAATGTAACATGATAAATTTAAAGTAAACATTAGTATGACATTTTAAAATGAGCATAACATCAATACTAAATGAGCATAAATAACTTTCAAAATGAGAATTGATATGAAAATAATAAGCTTTGTTAGTTGATCATCAAGATATCTTCATTGCGCATCAAACTTTTTCTATTGAGTATTAAAAGTATGTAATTGAGTATAATAATCTCTACTCTTGTGTCTATAATCAAGTTGATTTCATGGGAACCTAATGTAATATTGTAGTTTTAAAATATGCATTGATATGACATTTTATAATGAGTATAAAAACAAAACTAGATGAGCATACATAACTTACAAAATGCGCATTGATATGAAAATCGTAAGGTTTGTTACTTGAACATCACAACATTTTCATTGAGCATCAAAACTCCTCTATTGAGTATTAGAGACATGCAATTGAGTATCATCATCTCTGCTCTTGAGTCTATAATCAACTATCATGTGAATCCAATGTAATATGATAGTTTTGAAATATGCATTGAAATGACATTTTTTTATGAGCACAAAATCAATACCAGATGAGCATATGTAACTTACAAAATGAGCATCGAAAAAATCAAAAACTCATTTGAATCCTCTAATATTAAAATATTCATTTGTGTATGCTCATTCCCTTTAAATGTTATACTCATTTAGGTATAACACAAAAGTCGTGTTAATAACAAACACACATTATTAAAATAATTTACACACAATATTTAATAAACTAATAAATTTGATCTTAAAATTAAAAATAGAAAAATATAATTTTTATACCTAAAATATTTTATAATGCACAAATTAAAAAGTTAAGTTATAACAGTTTATTGGAATAAAAAAATAAATAAATTAAGCTAGGACATTAAATAATACGGAGTATTTTATATTTGTACTTTTTTAAAACATGAAGCAAACAAAGGTTAAAGAACAAGAAAGAAAACGGAAATAGAAAATAACCCACTCAAGGTGAGAGCAAATTCGGCGGAAGTGCTCTGTATCTAGAAAAATCAGGCGAGAGGCGCTGGAGAACACCTGCCAGCCGAGAACACCTGTGCGCGAACGAGATTTACAGTGAAAGAGAGTATTAATTGGGCATGATTTTGCAGAATATTACAAAAAAAATCCGGTTGTACCATCCACACAGTACAGCCGGTTGTAGGATATATTTTGCCCATATACGAGTATGTTGTTTTTGTCATTTCACTCGTTTATATTTTTAAATATCAACTACGCACCTTCCTTATCAACTATTTTACTTGGGCATGGAGCTGGGTCAGTCCAGCTAGGTCCCGAGCCCGACCGGTCTCAGTTCTAAATATTTGAAGCCCGGTAATGACCCGGTTTGGTCCTGTTCTAGTTTGGGTCCAAACGGTACCGGTCCTGACCCTCTAATTAAAAATAAATAAAATATATCGGTTGGGACCGAAACCGGGCCGGGGACGGGCCAATCCGGTCCCAAAAAACCAGGCCTGAACCCGTCCCGTTTTTACACCGGTACGGGTACCGGGCCGGTATCGATACCAGAAAATCGATACTGGGTCGGTCCAAACTATACCGGTCCCGAGTTTGTCTTGGGTTGGGCCGTCCGACCCAGTCCATCCCTAATTTTACTAACTAGAATAGTAGAATGTCAAACTCAAAAGTAACTACAGAGTTAATGACTTAATGTAGAATTTAGGGACTAGTTTTTTTCTACAACTTGCACGGAACACACGATTTATTTTAAAACTAAAATATTAGCATTGGCTTATTAAAATATGAGATAATTATACATTTATGACTATCGTAAAGATTGTTTATATAAATGTGACTCCTTAAATAAAATACGGGTAGTTATAATACTATGTAGCATTTTTAATCATAGTAACTTATATCATGTTTTTACATTCAAAGTAACCATGCACTATACCTATAGTAATTTTAATCATATTTTTATAAATAAATTTTGTTTTTGTACAGAGTAATATTTTTGAAAACTCCTCAGTAAAATATATGCCTTTTTGAACGTTTTATTGTTAGGTCATACATAAGTTTAAAGTAGGGATGTCAAAAAAACCCGACCCGCAATGACCCGCCCTGGTCCGAGACATTTGGGGCGGGTCCGCCCCGCCCCGTCTTGTAAATGGGGCGGGTCTGCCCCGCCCCGCCTATACAATGGGGCGGGTCCGGGTATTAGAATTGACCCGTTCCGCCCTGACCCGCCCCGACCC